GAAATCTGTGAAAGTGAGTAAATCAGAATGTATTTTTGTATATACAGAATATGAAAAATATATTTTGAAAGCATTTTACTTTGACTAATTTTTTTTTCTGCTGCTGGAGGTAAATGATTAGGGCACTATTCCTTAACTGCCAGCCCTTGTATTGGAATACATTTCATAATAATGGGGTCCCGCACCGTAGCCACGTGGTCTGAGGCATTATGCATCGGACCGGCGATACAGAATGCGCGCTAGTTTGGGTCTCAGGGGAGAAGAAATTTTCTCGAGAGCTTTCGACCAGTGTATGGGACTGGTGCCAACCCAGCATCGTGAGGAAATTGGGGAGCTACAATAAGTAGCGTAATCCGGTCAGGAAAGCTAGCAATGGCTGGGGGTTCGTCGTGCTGACCACACGTCATCCTATATTTGGTTGGATGATCGTTCCCCTCTGCTTAGGCATGTGAACGTGAGGCCAGCAGTCAAGTTAGTCGGCTTTGGTTCTCTGGAGCTGTTACGACACGGATTTCATTTTCATAATAATGGGATAAATTTACCTTACATTAAGAAGTGGTCTGTTTGTTTCTCTTTACATATCCAAGAAAGTATAAATGAAAAGTACAATTTTTGTCTGATATAATATTCTTTTACTTTCAGTATTTGGTCATGCTACAGAGAACTGTGATGATGGTGAAACATTTTAACCTGCTGTAAGGTTTTAGAATAATAAGCCATAGTGTAATGAAAGTAAGTTACAAATCTATATGGTAGCCTAGACTTGTAGAGCATGTATTGCCAAAAGAGAATAGGTACTATTTTTATATTTATACTAGTACATAACTATGTAAATCCATGAAAATGTACTCTCAATGGTGCCACGTATAACTATGTACAAATTTTTGGCACTGATATTGATTTTATGCAAGTTGTGTATAAGACATGGTACTTTGTACAGCGTATTTATGACATATTGATCATTTCGTCATTTAGATGTTAGATTACAGCTAATTCATGTTTTTTTTACAGTGTTCTGTTTCCATTTTAGTTGTAAATGTTAAGTAATTAGGGAATCAGAACCTCTATTACTGAGAGCAAAAGAAAAAAAGTGTTTAAACAATGCTGACCAAAACCTTGCAAATTCACTTAGTTATGACTATAAAATAATCTGAAAAGAATTTTTCTAAAAATTCAGCATTAGTTTTATTACTTTATCTTCGTATTATTGGTACATGATAAAACTGTTGAGAATGGTTTTAATTTCTTTACCTGTGTATAAATGGTGTGTGGCAACATTAAAGGAACTTTTAAGAATGGTACTGATAACCTTATCATACCTTTATTGATTCTGATTCACATAATTTGAAAAGAATTACTTTAATATGAAATAAGGAAATTTATATAACTTAGTTATGTGAAGTAATTTCCAGTTTCTTAACATCTGAAAGTAATATGTTCAGTGACATAACACATAACACTTTATGAGCCAGCATAGTTATTGGGTAATACTTAAATGTAAATCAGTAAAGACACACGTCTAATAAGTGGTTGTTACATTGTATGTTGGAAATTGAATTCTTTAACCTACTTTAGTCAATCATGTTCTTTTGGTATTAAAATAGGATTTTAAATTTAGAGCAGGGTATGAAATGAAACTATAATTATTTATTATGAATTTGGAATATCAAAGTGTGTGAAGTTGCAAATTCATTGGTTGCAATGAAACCAAAGATTTAATTTATAAACCTTTGACTGTCATGCCATTTATATTAATAAAAAGGAAGGAAAACTTACATTTGTTAATGATATTGTGGTTGAACATAAATATTGTATAGTTACAACTTAGATTATAATATGCAGTCATTGTTTTGTAATTATTTAAATATGATTTCTTGGTATGTAATTGTAATACTTGAGATTTCTTTAGAATGGAACATGGATGTTCAGAATTACATTTAACAGGGTATAGAACTAATTTTGTTGTAGCAGAATAAGGTATTGACAGTTTTATTATTTGAAATTTTACAGTTTATTATCTGTACATTCATGTTAAAGTATTTTATTTTATGTGGTAATCTGAGGTATATACAGTTTTGACCCTGGAATTCTGAACATCATTGGAAGGAAAATTGAACATTATTAATTATCTTATACATTAATTTTAATAAGCTTCATGAACACATTTTTTGGAAATATTTATTGTATACAATGTGAAGTTATTCTGTGGATTACCAAAAAACCTAATTTGTCTATTTCACAGTAAAAACAATCATTTGCTCTGTGATTTGTGTACGCAGCAATAATTTATGAACTCCATGGAGCCAAGTCCTTCCTGATAAGCCAGCAGTCACTCAGCCACTTCAGAAGATCACAAAATTTTATGGAACCCAGAGGTTTATTACCATGTTCACAAGAGCCTGCCACTGGTCCCTATCCTGAGCCAGATGAATCCAGTCCATACCACCCCATCTTATTTCTCTAAGATCCATTTTATTATTAGCCTCCACTTCCTAGTGATCACTTTCCTTCTGATTTGTCCACTGAAACCCTGCATGCATTCCTCTTTTCCACCATGTGGGCTACATGCCCTGCCCATTTCATCCTCCTTGAACTGATCAGTCTAATTATATTTGATGAGGAGTACAACTTATGAAGCTCCTCATTATGCACCTTTCTCCAGCCTCCTAGTAAGGTCCAAATATTCTCCTCAGCACCCTATTTTCAAACACCCTCAGTCTATGCTCCTCCCATAGTGTCAGAGACCAAGTTTCACACCCATACAAAACTACAGGCAACATTATAGTTTTGTATATTTTAATCTGTACATATTTAAATAGGAGATGAAAGGACAAAAGGTTCTTAACTGTATGGTAGCAAGCATTACTTGAATTCAATCTGCTCTTAATTTCCTCATAAATCAAATTCTGATTTGTTACTGTCAATTTGCCACATTTCCAAAGGATCCATTAGCTTGTCTTTATGTTACGATTTTGCCCTGCATTGTGGTGACGAGGTCAACATATATTTAGTTTTCTCAGTGTTTACTGTGTTGTCTTCAGGCATATGGGCCAAGGGTACCTGAAGATTAAGACGGATCCATTTTTCAAAACATTGTACACTTTTTAACCTTGGATGATGGACAGAGTCCAAAAACCCAATAAATATGACTGTATCACACCATGATCAGAACCCTATGGAATCCAATTAATATTACTTTTTTAATTTATGAAATTTTTTCATCTCAAATGAAACCTGTATTTCTATTTGGTCAGCACAAACATTTTGTATGAAATAACTCCTGCTGCAACTTTGAGATTCCACCAAATGCAGCAGTTTGAATGAAGCTCATTATCTATTTCCAATCGATCATTTCTGAAACCATCTTCTACTGTTTAACATCATTATTTCCATATCTTTTCATGATGATGTCTTATGAGTCGTGTCTCTTCTGGTCACTCAGAAATCTATGCTTAGCAGTGTCAGTGTACCAGAAGCATATCTAGTGAGAGGTTTTCAAACAAATTCTCTGCTGATTTTGTTCTTACTCAATTTATTACTACAAAAAGATAAGTGCCTTTGTGTGCAAAATAAAATGAGAATGCAAAGAAGCTAAGTGTAGTCCTCTCTTTGGAAACAAAGTTGAAAATTACTGATTTTGAAGTTGGCAGACAAGAATAGTTGTAGGTGATAGAGGTATGAAGATGCAAAATTAGCAGTGCCTCACATAATTAAATGTTTGAGAACCATGGATTAACTGTGACCTCTGCAATTATAAACAAATGTCTAACTGCAATAATACTTTTATTTTTTACTTGGAAAGTATTTGGTTCAAATGTAAGCTGCTGACTGAAAGCTTGATATGGATTAGGCCTAATGACATCATGCCTCAATTAAAACCTCATACACCTACAAAGAAATTTCATATGTTCACAGTTTTTTGTAAATGAACACAATTTGTGCAGGTGTTTGTAACACATTCCTTTATACTTAATGTAACATGTTGTCATCATCTCTTTATGGGTTGGTATGTTGTATATCTTTTACTGTGGTTGCTACATAGAAAGACAAATTCTTTGTGGATTGTGTTTGAGGTACATCATTACATTAATCCACTGGCTGTGTTTGTCAAGTGTCATTTCTGCATACTTTTTGGGATCCCCATATGTCCTAAACTTAAAATGTTTGAAAATCTTTTCACAGTTTATTTTACATTTAGACTGCACTAAATGTAAGTAATACTGGTAAACTGGAATATGATCTTAAAAGGTGTTAAAACTGGAACAAACAAAAGTTGTTGTAAAATGATTTAACACTGAACAGGAAGTCCTTGATTTAATTTCATTGTTAGCCACAAACTTACTTGGTATCAACACTGACACTGTCATAGGTCTCACTTCAGTTTTCTCTTAATATAGGGATCAAAAGATATGCCTCTTCTGAGGTAAACAATCAGTGCACATGGACACTTGACATGGTATCTTTAATTCTGTTGTGAATTATTCCACCTTATCCTCTTGAACATAACATGCTTGTTTCACCAAGGTCTCTTGTTAATAAGTTTTTATAAATTAAATGTTATACAAATTTATAGTCATCACACGCCACAGTACATACAAAGAAAGACTAGGTCACAAAAGTTTAGTTTAATCCAATCCTTCTTTCTTCTCTTTAATTGCTTCCTGCAAAATAATCAAGCATACATTAATCATTCAATGTTTCACATAATTAAAACCATAATTTATTAGAAGTTCATTAATGACTTTTTTTACCCTGAATCTTTCCTCAAAAAGGGACAACTCTGCCAACAAATCGGTTATTGCATGCATGAGAGCATCCTGTGGTGTGTAGTCTGAAGTTGTTTGAATGCGCAATATGAATTTATGTTCCAGTGGATGAGGCAGCTTGTATCCGGCAAACAGGACGTTTGGATCTTTCAACAGTTGACTGCAGAGGAAAAAAACAAACAAAGAGATAATTGCTCACAAGTTGTAAAATAGTGTACTTGATCTGGGCACACTTGTAATCTCTACACAAAACATACTTTCTTATCATATTTCCCAGTGTATGATCTTCTTTATTGATGGTGAATATCGCAGCATTTGGTACCTTCGTATCTTGCTCTTTGATGATCCTGTAAATAAATTGCATCTTTATCATAAATATGTTCATATGGTAAGTAGTTCCAATGTAGGATATTTTAATTTACACTTACTTCTTTTCACCTTCGAATAAAAGGAATGATTCAAATGTTGGTGGTGCATTCATTCTTATAAGTCAAAACTCAATTCTCAAAAGTTACTAGAAAAGGAGTGTAAATCTACAAACTCATACCAAATTCTATCCATACAAGAATTTACAACTAGCGACCCATGCGGATACCAAGCACATTGCCATGAAAACAGTTGCAAAACAAAACGCAATTCCGCTGCTAGCGACACAGATGTGAAAAGTCTCAAATGTTTGCAAGGTAGTTGTCGTAGTTGTCAAAATGGCGGCGGAAGGAGCGAGTCCTGCAGCTGGGAATCCTAATGCGGAAGTTGTACGAGGGCAGGTTTTTGAAGTAGGACCGAGGTATACAAACTTGGCGTACATTGGAGAAGGGGCCTACGGAATGGTAGTGTAAGTAGGATGTAATTAATGTGTCTGTAGTTTTACACTTGATTGTTTCTAACCTAATGGTGTCATGTAGCTTAGTTTCCTGTCTGCTGATGCACACCCCCAAACAGACTTCTTGTAATATTTAAATTTAAATTAAAATCTGAAATAAAATCCTATTCGTTAGAGTTATAATATATTTAAACCGAACACTTTTGTCATAGAAATCACGAGAAGTGGGAAATTCTTGTAAATACTTGTCGTTGTTAGTGGAGAGAGGTTAAAATAGCAATTTTCACTGACATCCACATTTTTTACAGTTTTCTGACGTCATGTTTCTTAACATTTTGTGGAAACTTATGCAACATTACACATACCATCTAACAGTGACATGTCTGTATTGTTTAGCATTATTTGTTCTCTGCATAGCCAAAGGGTAAAGAAAACTTGTTATGACATATGTCAGAAAATTCTAAATCTGTAAACTATTCTGAGTCATTCATTGGTTAACATTAAAAGAAATTACAATGCAAAAAGTTACTTACATATTTTACATACTTTTGCCATTAAGCACAAAGAGATAACTGAATGCAAAATGTGAAAATATAAGGGTTGTTTTAATTGATAGTGAAATGGAGACGTTAATAAGGATAAATGAGGGCAGAGAGAAATTTAGAAACAACACATTTGTTTTTATCTGCTTTGTGAATTTTAGTGAAGAGAAGCCATTATGTGGCTGATACTACAAAGTTTTGTTGTTTAGTTGTGGATCCATAGGACTTTAGGTGCATATGATCATTCCTTACATCCTCTCTACCTTATAGTAAAAGTAGTCCTCTGTGTGTTTTACTTTTTAATATACAGTACATTATTCATTAAACTCTTTTGTGTAATAATGTGATATCTAATTATGTGATGAATTGTATCCACTGACATTACTAATGAACTCACAGTTTTAAAATTTATTGTATAGTTGCCAAGTCTTCTTAATTATGTTGTTTACTCAGTTATTCTAATTTTTAATACTTTTCACATTGAAGTTGCAAAATGTTACCTCCTAGCTTTGCCATGTCTGTCTATTTGTCCATCCATGTCCATATACCAGTTTTGACCCAAAGTAATCATTACTACATGCACTTTATGTGATGAGGATCTCAGTGCATCTGTGCTCGAACCTAACTCACCAAGGAACAGACAGTGCTTTGAAGAAAAGTTTTAAAGAAGAATAGAACATGTATTTTATGCCTGATTCACTTTCCTTTAAGTTGTACAGTTTTGAGGTAAAAAGATGTTTTTATCTTGTGTCATTTCAAAACTCTACACGCACTGGACTGATTCTGATCATGTACTGTGTTAGGGGTCCTTGCAGCTCTTTGCTTTCTTTTTTACGCTGTTTATGTGAAAGTATAAAAAATTGTGATTCACAAATTGAAAATCTAGGGTTGATAACAGAACAGTTTGACCAGAAGTATTATGCAATGTGTACATTTCTTAATTTATTATTCTAATATGCAATTAGGAACAACATTTAGTAAAAGCAAATTTTCTCTTTTTTAGTTTGTTCATAATTTTAAAAAACAAATAAAATACATTGAGCTGTCCAGTCATATTTTATTAATTGGTGTAAAGTAAATAATTTTTCCAGTAGCATAGGACTAATTTGTAATATCTCAAGGCAAAATTTTGATTTTATTAACATTTTAATATTTTTATTACAGAACTGCATCCAAACATGTTTTGTTCAGTGAAAATATATGCACTGGTCAGGTCAGTGTACAGAATGAAGCAACTCTTTAAAGGTTTTTTTCTAAGAGATTGTTAGTATTTGTTTCTTAAAAGAGGTCTTAAGTTTTTTAGTGATTAATACCTGGAACAAATTTTGAGACCTTGGACCATAATTATCCAGATGTGTTGTTTAATGTATCACCTAGAAACAGTATAGAGTTTGTGCCCTTGTATGCTCTTGTATTACATTTTATGACTATATTTATTGTTTGACAAATAGAGTTTTCATACTCGGAAACACCTATCTTGCAGGTGCTGTAATTGCGACAGAGCGAAGGAAATGCATGTGTTGTAGGTGGTGGTACTTTTGACAGACTTTCAGAACACTGGGAAAGTATAGAAAGCTTTTAGCAAAGTTTGTACTGATCTCTCCAAGCTGGCTGGGCAGTTTAGTTTTAATTGGTGGGTCAGTAACTTTCATTTTTACAAACTAATTTATACCATATTAAATGTGTTAACGAAGATAATAGTTCTAGCATTTCATATTTACTGTATGATTTTCTTGAAGGAAATAGATCACTTGGGTGACTTGGCATAAATGAAGATAATATTAGAACTGAACTAAAATAATAGGGTGTGAAGTTGTGGACTGTGTTTACCTGGTTTAGAACGGAGTTCAATGGCGTTCATTTAACATAGTAATGAGCCTTTGCGTTCAGTTAAGAGCTGAAGTTTTCTCACCGTCTGACTGACCATAGTTTCGCGAGAAGGACGCTTGTTGCATGCAGTTGGTTGTTTATATAGTGTATGATTTTTGTAACGGTTTTGAGTATGCCAGTGGTTTCACGCCAATGTTTACGAGTGTTGTTTTCAATTCTTCAAGTTGTGTTAAACAAGATCAATTACGCGCGCATATAGATGGATGAATGCTGTTTATTCAGGTCCTTAGTTACACTTGTTTGCTGCTTCGAAACCGATTGTAACTGCAACAGGTGGTGCGTGGGCTGTCTTCACACCGCACGTTAGTTTCATTTTGCCTCAGCTTCCTTCCCGTGTTTCCTGTTGGTTCTAGAGTTGGTTTACGATCTCCATGCACCCAGAGGAAGCAAAGAATGTAAACCTCGAGGAGATATGTTATTTGTGTAAAGAGCATGACAACAACAGAAATTTATGCCAAACTATTAATATCAATAAGTAAATAAATACGGAATCGAGTCTTGTTATAAGTTAACGATGTGAACACGTTGAATAAGTAGGTAAGATGCGTCTACAAGAGGACGGATTTACTCACGTGATCTTGAATATCATTGTCTTGTAGGATGCTGGGCCGTGTAGTCTCATACAAATAGAGCGACCTTTTAGAGGTACTTACTGCCACCATCATAAGGGCGCCCTGATGCTGGAGGCAGTTAGCAATTTCTGCGAGGCAGCACGGCGCAAAGTCTCATCAATGTCATACCGCAGTGAGAACCAGAAATCTCACCGCTCTCTCGTGTCTGTCGGCTGGCTTTGATATTAGCGGCTTTGAATCTTTTCGTAGTGTAACCATAGACGGTTATACATGTATACATGTGAACCAAACTTTGTCTGCCATCTTAAGAAGAGAAGA